GATGATTCAGTGGTAGTTCATGTATAATTAACATTGTTAGTGATGATGATTCAGTGGTAGTTCATGTATAATTAACATTGTTAGTGATGATGATTCAGAGGTAGTTCATGTATAATTAACATTGTTAGTGATGATGATTCAGAGGTAGTTCATGTATAATTAACATTGTTAGTGATGATGATTCAGAGGTAGTTCATGTATAATTAACATTGTTAGTGATGCATGTGATGATCACGCATCACTAACAATGTCAATTATACATGAACTACCTCTGAATCATCATCACTAACAATATTACTTATACATGAACTATCTCTGAATCATCATCACTAACAATGTTGATAATACATAAACTACCTCTGAATCATCATCACACGCATCACTAACAATATTAATTATACATGAACTACCTCTGAATCATCATCACTAACAATGTTGATAATACATGAACTACCTCTGAATCATCATCACTAACAATATTAATTATACATGAACTACTTGTGAATCCTGAATCATCATCAGGTAGTTCATGTATAATTAAATGTGTATACATTTTGACTAGACTATTAGTTAGTGTTAACTTCATTACCTTCCACTACCCACTACATCTGTGATTCACCCACCACGGGTATCAAAACCCAACTTTTAGTGTTGTAAGCACACAGACTTACCACTGAGCCACTGAAGCCAAATATTTTAGAACTGATATTGTCAACATATAAAATATATTTAGCGTAGTTAGCAAAGAAAAATTATAAATATGTTTCAACTTTCATTTCTGTCAGTTTTATGGAGTCTCACCTGTAAACAACATATGCAATAATGTTTTTTTATTGTTTTTTTCAAAAAACTGTTTCAAAATAACATTGAAAATTTCATGATCTATAACATAATACAAATGCTAAGTCAAAGTATATGAATTTCTTTTTAAAGCAGAAATCTGATAATTTGTTTTTTATAATGAGGTATTTCTACTGTGAGAATGAAAAATGAGGCCAAATATAGAACAGTGAGATTTCTCAGGTCCAGTTGGCTCTTACAAAAAAATTCATTAAATAATTAGAGGTAGAGATAAAAATAAAATGGTTTTAAAGCATAACATAATAAGAAATATGTTATTTGTTAAAAACAATACAACACCCTGTTATAGTCTTTTAAACTGTTTCATATGTTACAAGTAATTTAAACTTTAATTGGTACAACATAACTACAAATATTCAAACTCAACTCACCTGCTTTTTGATTGCTGGGGCAATGTTCAGTTTTCTATCTTTAAGCACTAAGTTGTCAGCCTAAATTCATATATAAAATTAAACTTATGTTTTACCTACGTTTATTATATTAACATCACCTCCTATTTCCAACATCAAAACTCCACCAGGGTTTTAATCACATAATATTAATTATCAGTGAACAGGATAACTACCATATCTATTTAAACACACCATGCATCTTTGATATTCTGATGAGAGTTAAGAAATTTAATACAATCATCATCAATAACAATATTAATTATACATGAAGTACCACTGAATCATCATCACTAACAATGTTAATTATACATGAACTACCTCTGAATCATCATCACTAACAATAGGAGTGGGTAGTGGAAGGTAATGAAGTTAACACTAACCAGTAGTCAAGTCAAAATGTATACACATGGAGTGGGTAGTGGGAGGTAATGAAGTTAACACTAACCAATAGTCTAGTCAAAATGTATACACACATGGAGTGGGTAGTGGAAGGTAATGAAGTTAACACTAACCAATAGTCTAGTCAAAATGTATACACATGGAGTGGGTAGTGGAAGGTAATGAAGTTAACACTAACCAATAGTCTAGTCAAAATGTATACACATGGAGTGGGTAGTGGAAGGTAATGAAGTTAACACTAACCAATAGTCTAGTCAAAATGTATACACATGGAGTGGGTAGTGGGAGGTAATGAAGTTAACACTAACCAATAGTGTAGTCAAAATGTATACACATGGAGTGGGTAGTGGGACGTAATAAAGATGAAATACTAAGATTGTTAAATTTTCAAAGAATTTCATAAATCTGATTCTACAAATATTGTAGGAGAATATTAATTTGGGAAAAATTGTGTTAATTTTTGAGCTCTATTCACAGTATCCTGTCATGTTCAACAGATTCTATAATGTTTAATTTATGAACTCTATTCACATTATCCTGTCATGTTCAACAAATTGTATAATGTTTAATTTATGAAGTCGTTCACATTATCTTGTCATGTTCAACAAATTGTATAATGTTTAATTTATGAACTCTATTCACAGTATCCTGTCATGTTCAACAAATTGTATAATGTTTAATTTATGAAGTCGTTCACATTATCCTGTCATGTTCAACAAATTCTATAATGTTTAATTTATGAAGTTGTTCACATTATCTTGTCATGTTCAACAAATTGTATAATGTTTAATTTATGAAGTCGTTCACATTATCTTGTCATGTTCAACAAATTGTATAATGTTTAATTTTTGAGCTCTGTTTATGTAGTTGTTTTACGTAGTTGTTTTGTACAGTTGATTTATGTAATTGTGTTATGTGCAGGTTGTTATATGTAGTTGTGTTATATACAGGTTGTTTTATGTAGTTGTTTTGTACAGGTGTTATATGTAGCTGTTTTGTACAGTTGTTATATGTAGCTGTTTTGTACAGTTGTTATATGTAGTTGTTTTGTACAGTTGGTTTATGTAGTTGTGTTATGTGCAAGTTGTTATATGTAGTTGTGTTATGTGCAAGTTGTTATATGTAGTTGTGTTATATAAAAGTTGTTTTACATAGTTGTTTTGTACAGTTGTTATATGTAGTTGTTTTGTACAGTTGTTATATGTAGTTGTGTTATGTACAAGTTGTTATATGTAGTTGTGTTATATACAAGTTGTTATATGTAGTTGTTTTGTACAGTTGTTATATGTAGTTGTTTTGTACAGTTGTTATATGTAGTTGTTTTGTACAGTTGTTATATGTAGTTGTTTTGTACAGTTGTTATATGTAGTTGTGTTATATACAAGTTGTTTTGTACAGTTGTTACAAGTAGTTGTGTTATATACAAGTTGTTATATGTAGTTGTTTTGTACAGTTGTTATATGTAGTTGTGTTATATACAAGTTGTTATATGTAGTTGTGTTATATACAAGTTGTTATATGTAGTTGTGTTATATACAAGTTGTTTTACGTAGTTGTTTTGTACAGTTGTTATATGTAGTTGTGTT